TTGGCTGGGGGTGGGTGGAGTGAAGAGGAACACAAGGTCGTCCCACATACCTGAACGATTTCAAATGTACCAAAGATTTAAATGCAAGCAACGCAATCAGGATGCATGGTTGCAATGTTTCTATGATTTCAGCATGGGGAAGTCCAGAAGCTTTAATAAGAAGGACACAACACTCACAGCCAGGAGGGAACAGATTGATACACGCAACTATCTGTTAATGTGAAACTTTAGCACATAGAAGGACCGCTGATTGGAGAAGAGTTCGAATACGACGACGTATATTGAAGTCATCTTGAGTAAAGATAAGAATAAATCAAAATACAATTCCAAAGAAGACACTAAATTCAAAGAGTGTAAGTTGTAGAAATACATGAACAGAATGATACCATTTCAGTGTTAGAAAAAGAGAGGAAAAATCCATCAAACTACATGTGCACATATAAGAATTTTGATCTACAGAAATATATAGAGACACTTAAATGTTAACAGTGATTAACTGAGGTAATAGGCTAGAGAAAGATCAGGGGATCTAATCTGACTCTGCGTGCTTTTGCAATGATCGAATACTTACAAAATTCTATTTGTGTACCCCTCATGTAGCTGCATTTTATACAAAGCAACCTACATCTTATAGCATAGTATAAAAATCTTAAAGATAAAACTGACTAGTGAAAATAAGGCAAAAAAAAAAAGTCGGAAAAAAGTTCAGTTCATGGTACTAGGGCTTCGTTTTATAGTTTCAGATCACCAAAAAACTATTTTAGAAAGCCAGTAGAAAAAGGAAGAAAGAATATAAGATATAAAGAAATACAGAGAAGAAAAAGTTGAATCTCACTGATAACCGAAGAAATGCAAATTAAAATAAGGCATGATTAGGTAGCCATCACGTATAAAGTTCTGAACAATATTAGGATAAAAGGATACTGTACCTGAATAGTTTGGACCTGCAGGATTGGCTGAAGCGGGAGGCTTGTTACCTGCAGAAATAAATTTGAATCAATGCACCAGCCTTATCAATACAAAATTATGGCTTTCATTTTTTTGCTTGATTTAGAAAAAGACTGATTGTTTCGCAAAATAAAAGTCCACATACACCCAGAAGATTGCAAGTTTACTCCCAGGAATTCAGTCTAAATATACATTTTTACACGTAGGTAAGGATGAATGCATAAAATGTACAACACAACACTGTAGTTTACAATGGAAATCCTAGTAGTCAAGTATAAATCCTAAAACTAAGTGTGTTTAAGAGCTCTTCTAGCAGTAGTATACTCGATAGTTTGTATCCTTTTCTGATTGGGTATAACTTCTTTATGTATCATCCAACAAAATCATG